CTGCATTCATAACATAATTTACAACGTTCTCCCCTCTCTGATGCAGGACAGAGCGACTGGCCCGCGACATAATCCGGGACATGGGGGGACACCACATCGTAGCTCTGTGTGTGCTGAAAGGGGGCTACAAGTTCTTTGCGGACCTCCTGGACTACATTAAGGCGCTGAACCAGAACAGTGATAAATCAGTCCCGCTGACGGTGGATTTCATTAGGGTGAAGAGCTACTGTGTAAGCACCCTTTTCTCATTTCATTTCCAGGAACCACTTTGTGCTGATGTGTGACACAGAGTTGGCAAAAACGAGAGCGGTCTCGTTAAACTGGGAAACGGGCCGCCGCAGTGCGAAGACGCAGGGGCGTTGGGATTTTGTTGTTGTTGTTGTTGTGATTTTAAAGCAGAGCAGACGAGATGAGGTTGACGTCTCTGCTTTGTGTCTCCTAGAATGACAAGTCAACCAACAGCGTCAAAGTCATAGGAGGGGATGAGCTGTCCAGTCTCTCAGGCAAGGTTAGTCTTCTGGTGACTGTCAGCCAGAGACACTACACTGACTTTTAAAGAAATAGACTTCATTAACTGTTCTTTTATTTGATTTTTTTTCTGCAGAATGTTTTGATTGTTGAGGTAAGACCTTTCTGTTCTGCATCACAAGTGAGGTGATAGTCTATTAACAATGTATATTGCAGTATCTACTCAGTATAACCTGTGTACTTGTGGGTCAACCTGCAAATTAAATCCTCGACAAAAAGCACTTAATTGCATTGATAAGTTCAATTACTGCCCAAGATTCTGCTCATTAGTTTGCATTTCATTTGTATAGCAAAGTCTGTCATGTCGTCTAACATCTCCTGAGCCTGCACCAGTGTCCGCTCTTCCTCTTTAGAACAATATGACATGCTGGTTATTGTAAAAGTTTAAAAAGTTCTACAACACCAAAGTCCGCTGTGCGTGACTTGCATTTCTTGACTTTCTGTTTCTGCCTGCGCTGTAATGCGACCACTTCCTTCATTGATAAAAGGATATCGTGGAGACAGGAAGGACGATGCAGACGCTACTCTCCCTGCTGAGCGAATGTAATCCCAAGATGGTGAAAGTTGTGAGGTAGGCATCATCGCTTACAGTTTACAGCGCTGGAATTATAGGCCTGCACTTTAACTGGCTGGTGTGTCTTTAGAGAGAGTGCTCTTAGCTAATGGACGCTCTCCTTTAGGACTGTATTAGAGATGTAATGTGACGGAGGGATGGAGCAGCTTAAGAGTTAATCTGCCGCACTATTAACTGCACTGAGGCCATTTCTCTGATGTATTCCTGATAGCTGGTTAAAACGGGATACGTGCCGACCAGATGCCGGTTTTCCTCTGATGCTTGCAACAAAGAGAGTAGTTTGGTTTGCGTTTGCTTCTTATGCAATTCCTCGGCTTTCGTGACACGTCTATTTTAATTCTAGACTTAAGGGCAGATTTCTCACACCCTCTTAGCTTTTGTGGTGTCATGCGATGGCGATAGTTCCTGTTCAGTTTTTGCAATTTCTACCACTGACTTGTCCCTGTTACAACACAGCTCAAATGCCAAACTCTTCTTAGTTTCTTGGTAAATTGAGCTTTCCGGCACTGGGCGCTGTGTTTACTGGTCACCACTACTCCTGCGCTCTGGTCAATGTGTTTAAAATAAGCTCCACACAAAGACACTGACCTTGAACTGTGAAGAGGCATTTGTTTGGGCAGGGTGTTGTGCAGGTGTACCAAGACAACCAATGCCATCTGTTAGGATTAATACCTGCGGTTGTTTCGACAACGGTTCTTTGTCTTTGACATGTTCACTTGTGTTTAAAGCCTTTTGTTTCTTATGTCCCATATTTCCTCGCTTGTCATTGCAGCCTTCTGGTGAAGAGGACCCCGAGGAGCTCAGGCTACAGACCGGACTGTGAGCACCTCTTTACTCACTTTACACTACACCGTTAACTGAGCAGTAGTGATTTATTGTGTTCGCTGTGTCTCTTTTAAGATCCGGTGAAGCGGGATTAACATTCATTTTAGGAAAATCTACTCCAAATGTAGGCGAGCCAGGCACTTATGTACTAATGCAGGCCTGATAACCCCCCACTCACACTGCCTCTGATTATGTAATGCTTTTAGGTTTGAGTTGGATAATCTCTTTAAGATTGTCCCTCAAGGACAGCTGTTACTGTAAGCGTTTTGACTTTCCGCGATACAGCACTTGACAACTTAAGCACGACCTCACAGAGACGGTAAAAGAGCAATGTCTGTTAGTTTACAGTGACGAGAGTTTGACTTCCACAGCTCTTGAACGTAGCTTGTGTCTTCTTTATATAACTTGCACTGATGTGTATTTATTTCAGACATTGGCTTTGAGGTGCCAGATGCCTTTCTGGTGGGTTACGCTTTGGATTACAACGAGTACTTCAGAGATCTCAGTGTGAGTATTGAAAAGTATGAAGATGATACCTGTGTTTACATTTTAATTCCATTTGTCTGTTCCAATACGCTGATCCTCATAGTGCACTGTTTTATACTTTACAGGACATTACGTATGCATTATGTAGAAACAATTCTGAGCACATTTTGTCACTTTATACTCTCAACACCTGCTCAGACTTACTGTGTGGTACAAAACTGGGACACGCTTCTGTTTTGTAGGAATGACAGGACTTTGTTCTGGCAGCAGGTGCTGTTCACAAATACGCACCAAATTAATTTCTCGGGAATATCTGCATTGTATTTTTTAAACACGTAAATAATCCAAAGAAATATAACCAGCCTTTTTCACTTCAGACATTATATACTTATCACATCAGGAACAGCAGAGGCGTAAATAATAAAATTATTGGTGAGTGAATTTAAAGCTCCAGTCTCAGGGTCCTGATGTGCAGGCTGGCTCACAGTCATGCGGGCTCACAAGGACACTACTTCTTAGTTCTAGTGTGATGTTCAAAGTGTCTGCTGTGAAAAATGCCTCTTCTGGTGGAGAAATGCTAAAAAAAAAAAAGTGATATATTAAAGCCGACTTATGTAAATTCTTCGAGAAAATCTAATATAGGTGCACCGATTCAGAAGAGTCTATGGTTTTAAATAGAGGTAGAGCATCTATTGGTTTGCTCGATTGTTGGAAATTATATTCAGCATTTTTCTGATTATCGCACATTTATTTAAACTGATATTTAATAAAATAAGGTGATTAAAAAATGAACTACTTTGGCTCCGATGCAGCTTCCTCTTTCTATCTGCAGTCACCACTCTGTGGTCTTGAACTACTATCAGACTATGTTTGACGAGTACTAGTCTGTGAACACTGAAGGATAAATATTGAATAGTTTTAAATGTATGTAAAGCAAACACATTCAAATGTATATCAGATCTGAATATTTGTAATAAGTCTCTTTGGTTAGCTGGCAAGTTTATTTATATAGCATTTGATCACACACACAGAGGCTGTTCAAAGTGATTTACAGGCAAAGGCAAACACATTTTAAAAGAATAATTAAAACTGACTAAAATAGTAAAAAGAGACATGATTAGAAAAATAAAAACATAAAAGATAAAGTAAATTGTAAACATGGAAATCTTTGTATTGTTTTCTTTGTTCCTACTTCTTATTTTTATTTAATTTTTTTTTTGTATATTCTTATATATTTATTTATTTTGTGCTACTGTGATAAAACAATTTCCTTTATGGATCAATAAAGTTGATCTAGCCCTATGTCTAAAGTATACAACAAAATAGAAACATAAAAATTTAATTCACTTGGTAAAAACATTTTAAAGCCATCTTGTGTAATTTGTGTAACTGTCGAATGGAAAGATCAATTCAGGTTATTAAAGCTGTCGCGTTTTCTTTAACTACATTTTAGAAATGACCTCAGATTTAGCTACAGCCCTTGTAAGATCATCTACTTCAGGGGTGTCGAATCCCGGTCCTCGAGGGCTGCAATCCTGCATGTTTTAGATGTTTCCCTCTTCCAACACAACTGATTCAAATGATCAGGATCGTTATCAGGCTTCTGCAGAGCTTGATGATGAGCTGATCATTTGAATCAGGTGTGTTGGAAGAAGGGAACATCTAAAACATGCAGGATTGCGGCCCTCGAGGACCAGAGTTCGACACCCCTGATCTACTTCCTGTGTGAAATGTCTCAGTTAAACAGAAAATATAATATCTGTATATCAGAAATGCATCCAACATGAATTCCTTGTCCTCTGATGTGTTTGTTTCCACAGCACATCTGTATACTGAACGATCAAGCCAAGGAGAAGTACAAAGTGTGAGCAGATGATGTGCTGTAGAGGCTGAATCAATGAAGACTAGGACCACTGTGATGACCCTCCTTAGCTTTGCTGTGTTTTGAATGTTATTTATTTTTCTACATAAGAATCCACAAAAAGTGACTTGTGGGTTGTGACTAACTTCAAGAAGGACATTTATTTCCCCCCTTGAGAGTAAGTGGGATTAATAATGTATATTATGAATATTTTGGTTGTTGAATTTTAATTTATGTAGATAATTTATGTGTTTAGCTGTAAATCAGTCTTTTTTTTGTTGTTGTTGGAAATAGAAATGAAGAATGTCATCTATTTGCTCTGGCTTATTAAATCTCATGTCTCAGGCTACTGCTTGATGTTCAGTGAGCTGTCAGTCAGATGTTAGTAGCCTTCCGTTTGTACATGTTTGGATTTATAATGCTGATATATCCTCTCATTATGCCATAAAAATGACTTGTAATGTACTGTAAGTTTTCTTTAATGCCCGATGTTTTCATCGAGGACCTGTTTACAGCAATACAACCCCCGTTGAAACCTCGAGTCTTGTTTCTGTTGCACTTTTTCAGCTTTTCCAGAAGAGGGAGCAACATTAGCACGCTGTATGTTTAACAATATATTGTGCAATGAGCTTACTGTATCGGTGTTATAACACCGATACAGTAAGCTCATTGCACAAAAACAAAACAAAACAACAACCTTTTTGGTTTCCGTTTCGTCCTTGTGATCATTTCTGTGGTCCCTCTTATGGCACTTGTTCCTTTTTTTTTCGAGGCGCAAATTTATGCTATCCCTCAGAGTCGGTCAGCTAACTGGCTAACTGTGGCTAAAGCCGAAGCTCGTCGCATGAATTTGACGTCACAACTCCGGTCAGATTGTTTGTGTTCGTAACATTGCTCTAACTTTAGTATAAAGTATTTAGTTTAATTACCGGCTAAATATTCTAGGATGCTATACAATTTTACACATCTGAGCTCGACTCTAACAGTGTGAGTGACACAGCTGTTGTCCGAATTTCCAAGGTCTGCTTCACTTTACATTAGCTTTTGTGCTAACGTTAGCTAGCTCTACCCCTCGATTTAAAGGGAACCTGTCGCTGCCGCGACGTGCAGTGTTTGCAGTTTAACGGAAATTAATTAGCTATCTAAATATAATTAAAGTCAGTATCCAGGTTAAAGCTCGCCTTATAGTTTGTTTATAATTTAGACTACGCATGGTTTGTGTGGCAGCCCTGCACTTTGCTGTTACTGTTTTGAAACCCAGCGACTACGATGCATATCAAAGAGAAGACGATAGCCACTTTAAAGCAGTTTGACATCGGAAAAAAGTTCTCTTATCTGCCGGTGCTGCCCAAAGCCTCGGTGCTGATCCCGCTGTTGGTGAAGAATGGGGAGCTCTACACCCTGATGACCCTGCGATCAAAACAGGTAACATGAAGTAGGGCTGCACGATATTGGAAGAAAACAAACAAACAAACAAAAACAACACTGCATGTTTTTTCTGCGATATAAAAAAAAATCTAACGCTTTAGTAATGGGGTGATTTTAAAGGAAAGTGCATCTGCAGGGAAAAAAGCTGAAGGCACCGTGCTCATAAGGTGTGGTGCTGATTTCAATGGTTAAGCAAATTATGCAGGACAAAAAAATAAAGGCAGCATGTCTACGTTAAAAAAAAAAAAGAAGAAGATTGGAGCCATTCTTTATCACAGAAGTTAATACCTTTTTTGTTGTGCCAGTGTACAACACCTTTACAACAGAACAGACAGCATGTAACAACAAAGTACACAATGTTCTGAACACGATAACAAGCAGCTGGAGACCAGAAATCCCAACTCAGTGAGACAAGGCAAACATCTGCAACACAAAGAGTCACTGAGGTTGTTAATGCTGGTCGTGGGATGTTGTCTCACTGTTCCTGAAGGGCTTGGTGAAGCTGGTGGGCACTGTGGGCAACAGGATCATGTCATGTCATGTTTGTACACATCTGTCCAGAGCATTATGGACCAGATTGTTGTACCGTCCTGCCTGAAACCATTCTGTACATGACAGCTGGTGGAGTTGTGGACATTGACTATGGCTCTGACATGTCAACATCTCGGATGTCATTCTTGTCTTTCTCTTGTCATGTGCAGCATTGTTTTATTTGAATAAAGCTGCATTTCAAGGTTGCCTGTCTGATCATTGACCTTTAAAGCCACATCTGATGAGCAAAATAAGTCAGTGGTGGAGCATTTGTCACCAGTTGAACTTCCCAAAATCATTTTGTACACAACTGGCTGAAAAAGGGAAAGAAAACCATCAGCATGCTGTGATTATATTTTCGAAGTACCTATTTTTGTCAAACTCTTCTGTGTGAAATGTTAAACTGTTGGATGCCAAGCTATTCTTTCATACTATAAAATAAAAGTAACATAAACTCCTGCTTGAATTATATTGCTGACTTCACTTACAGATCAGTCATGGAAAATGAAAACGGAGCAACTTTTCTTTTTGTCTCAAACCACAAAACAGTCGCATGATGTATTGGGAGTTATTTTGTCATAATTCATGTTGTCAATGCTAAAATAATGTATCGTGCAACCCTAACCTGAATACATGTCACTTGGGTGAAGGCTCTTTCCATTTACTTCTGCTCTACACTGGCTTTTGTCTCTGTGTAGCTGCGGACCAGTGCCGGTGAGGTGTGTTTCCCAGGTGGGAAGAGAGAACCCAGTGATCGAGATGATGTGGATACAGCTCTGAGAGAGGCACAGGAGGAGATAGGTCTACCACCTGAGGACGTTCAGGTGGTCTGTACGCTGTTCCCAATCATCAATAAGGTAGAATAAATTCCCCGTCAGAGCATCAGCTGCTTTGGGTTCATCTATTTGTAACCTCTCCCATCTTCATCTCTTTCAACAGAGTGGTCTGCTGGTGACCCCCGTCGTTGGCTTCATAGAGGAGTCATTTAGTCCCAGTCCAAACCCAGCTGAGGTCAGCGCCGTGTTCACAGTCCCACTGGACTTCTTCACCAGCCAGAAGGACCACTACGCTGCCCACGGTGCTGCCGGGTTGGTCGGGCCGCTGCACTCGTTTCATTTCGTGGACCCTGATTCAGGAAGACAGTACCACATATGGGGGCTGACTGCCATGTTGGCTATACTGGTCGCTGCACTCGCTCTGAGGAAAAAGCCTGAGTTTGATGTCGGCTTTGACTCTGAGGATCCGTTCGCCTTCTTCCAGCAGATTCTACATAGAAGACTTAACAAACTATGACCGGCTGTTTTCTTTATTTTAAATGCCACAACATAGTACCTTTAATTCAGATTTGTTATTTAACTGCAGTGCATTAATTTACAGTGTTATTTGTAAAGATTAATATAAAGTTAATTCATACACTTTTTTTTTTTTTTACTGTTTATTCCTGGTGCATCTGAAACCTTAATGGATGAGAAAATAAGCACATGAAGACGTTTACATTTTTATTAATTCATTTAATGTAGCAGCAGGATTACAGATATAAACAGAAGAGTATACAAATGTCCAGACAAAGGCAAAGTACATGTTAATAATAGTTCATATGTATGATAACACGCTGGGGGGTTGACCTTTATCCCTACTGCAGGGTCTTAAGGCTACTAAAGCTCAAGCTACACAGAACGGATACAACAGAACTGTTGGAGAATGTGAAATAGAAAGCGAACTAGGAAAAGTGAGCAAACTGATTACACACAAGATACAGCTCACACTATTGGCAATTAACAGTTAATTTATCATGGCTGCCCCTTTTGATCAAGCACTTCACAGCAACAATAGTAATGTTGACAAGCACATCAACACAAGAAAGTTCTCCATAAAACAATCTCCACTGTCGCGTCCCTTTTACCTCACATGTACAAATCTCATGAGGCATGAAAAAAAAAAAAGAACAAAAACAAATAAAAATATTTTCAATAGAAAACAACAAACAAGGTGACAATTCACTGGTGAAGCTGCACAATATTAGGTTGAGAGTAATCGCTCTGATATCTTGCAATGGATTGAGAAACTGTTAACACTAAAATATATTAGTATGGGCTATGGTTACGTTTGTGTTGAGAAATCTAAAAATCAAATGACTGAAAAGTGTCCTCATGTTAAAACAGTCCTAGAGAATAAAAAGGACAAGGAGCAGTGACACAAAAGGGACACCAGTAAACACAGCAGAGCAACGGTTAAGTTATCAAGGCACACAAAGTTCTGTTGAAAGCATCACAATTGAAATTCAAGATACCCCTGCAGTATATTTCACATTTAAATATACATGGATATTCATTTACATGACTGAAGGACAAAAAACAAAAAAAAAAAACAAAAAACGATATTATGCAAAGATTTGTGTGCTCTCTTCACCACCATCACATCAATGTTGAACATGGGTTTTTTTTCAGGTGGGAGTGGCTATTCGAAGAGTCAAGACTGAGAATCCTGGATTGCTCGAAATGACAGGGCTTGGACGCGAAAACGTGAAAATTACACCACAATCCGAGACGAAACAATTTCGACGAATGTACAGTGACACGAATGACAGCTGGTGCCACCCCACCCATCCCCTTCTGCCTCGAAATATAAGTTCTCTAAAACTGTAATTGGTCCGATGTTAGATGTAGAGCAAGCTCCGTGTCCACACCATGAGGTAAAATTTACATTCATGAAACTGAAGTCACAGGTTGGCTTTCTGTGTCGGTATGGCTTTAGGAGGCATAACTGTTCCGCACTTCTTCCACAACGTCATGTGCTCTTAAAACTCCCCTAACCGAGAGGAATGGAATGCTTGGAAACGTCACTACTGCACTCTAACCTGATCTACAGTTAATGGATGAGTCAAAGTGCCATTTGAGATGCATGACATAAAAAACAAATTAAAAAAAAAAAGTTAAAAAAACAAAACGCACACACACTCACAGACACACACACACGAGAAACCTAGCCCACGTATCATGTCCTACAGTTTGGGTAAATTCAATATCATAACAGTAGAATGAAGGTCTAACATATTTGCGTGATGTCCGCTTAACTTCTAATTTCAGTCATACACTTCACAATAAACCTGCGCTTCATTTCAGGAAAAAAAAAAAAAACACACCAGCAATGATATTCTGTGCTATATGAGCATCAACCAAAAAGTTTAGTTTTACAAAAATACTCTACATTTTGATACATGGATACAAAATTCTAAAAAAGATAAGTTACTTTAAAATGGATCACTAACAGCTTGCAGGACGAAAGAGAGTATGACTATGAAAATGTAAACAAACGCGAGCGAAACGCTATTCTAACACGTGGATTATTCTCGAAAAAATTGGCTTTCTGATCATGACAAATTGGCTACTGTTGGATATGGAAAGTACAGCAGTGTCATTCTGCATCAAAAAAAAAAAAATAGAGTAATGAGAAATATAAAGTATCAAATCGGTGGAAATGTTAGTGACGGATAAACTGATCCATGAAACAAAGTACCTTTACATATCTTTTATAAATCTTGTAAAACAACAAGTTGCTATCCATGTGAGAGCTGCATAATTTAAAAGTACAAATGAGTAAACATCATGAGGGCGCTTCGCAAAGGACGAGGATGAGACAAAATGGCAACGATTCACAACAGGAACTTTGGTATGCCTGGGTGCACTCCAGTCTGACCCCCCCCCTGCAACAACAGCCAGCTCCGTAGGACTCGACTTTGCTTCGTAGCTAACGACTAATACCAGTGCTATTGATAGTATAAACTGTTATGTACTAAACATCACAGCAGAAGTGCCCATCACTCCTGTACATAGCACCATGGATAAAAATGGCGGCCTCTATGTAACAGATTACCAGCGAGCCCCCTGTTCACAACACAAGGGACGGGTGCTGGATGCCAACTTCACGCGGCGCCAACCTGCACACGCTACCAACAATAAACTTAACATCTAACACAAGACAAGGTAGAACAGTCCCGAGTGACAGACTGAACAGGAGTTGGTTAAAAAAAAAAAGAAAAGAAAAAAAAAACGATGAAAATCCTTCATTTCATGACACAGACTAAATAAATCAGTAATTTTAGGTGTTTTTTCTTTTTTGTCAAAAGGCCTACTTACCACTCAAACACTGAAAAAATGACCATGCTTTAGTGGGAAATGGCTGTTTTTTGTTGTCGTTTTTCTTTTGGGACAGACTTGACTGGACCACTGAATACAAAGAGGGATTCAACAGTGAGCAGACATTCTATACAAAGTTTGTCTAGACCTCAAAAATATTCTGACATGAGAAAATGTAAAAATGCTCGGTTACGATGTATTTACTTTTACAAAGATGACTGCTGTTCTTCTTTTGTTTTTTTTCTCTTGTATTTTTTTAACTGGACGTTTCGGAGTACAAATTCAGCTAGGTCAGTAGAGAGAGAGCTGTGGACGGATATAAGGATTAGCAGGTTACACAAAAGAGGTTATAAAGTGCTTGAGATAAAATGTTTATAAAACCACACGACACTCCATTTTCACTAGTGGAAAGTTTCTTTCTATCCACAATGAATTGGTAAAGGTTACCAAGTTCTTCAAAGCAAAAAAAAAAAAAAAAAAAAAAAAAAGACACACACTACATAGTTGAATGCTATTTAAAATTTTCACCGAAAAAGCTTCTGCAAACCCAGTGATGAGGCCTGAACATATGAAAACACTGGGAGGTGCCAAAACAAAGGCCAAGTCACATTATTTCACCAGGTTGAATCTCATTTGCAAGTGTGTGATATTCCCTCCTCTTTCTAAATGATAACAGGAATAACAGAATGTCTCGATACCACATTTTGGTGAGCAAGTTACTTTCATGTTTGCAAAGTGGAGCTGATACCAATATTTCACTGTCCTCCCTCCGACAGAGAATGCTCAGGAGCAGACTCCGGCCACGCCAGCAAATATTGTTCTGCAAAACGTTAATACATTATTCTAGAAAGAATTCTACCATCTAATAATCTGTACTCTTAGAGTAGATCTTAGTCAAGTTGTTGACATATGCAAACACAAGGTTTGATTAGTTGCAAAAATGCTTGTGTTGTCCACGTCAAAAGAAGTTTAAATCAAGTGGTTGTAACATGATTTCGTTCCTGTTCTCACGCCAGGTAATCTCCCGTTTTTACTGCCGCTTCACATGATGGAAAAAAAAAAAAGACCAAAAAAAAAAAAAAAAAAGCACAACTCGCAGCCTCCGCTTCTCAGAGTGAAGGGAAGGCTCGGAGTTTACACACTCACAAAATGAGATTCAGCCTTTATCTGACACTTATGTGCAATCTGATATTCACTCCATAACTGGCTGTTTTATCTACTCTGCCTGCTCTTACAGACTACTCGCCATCAAGTTGCTATTTCTGTTTCCCTGTTGCTGACATTCTTTATCCCTTTCCAGTTTTTCCACCGAACCTGGTAGGTTTTTAAATCATCATCATCATCATCATCATCTCTTAGGCTCACATTATTAAAACACTCTGACAACAAAACACTGCATTTTCGAGACTGATGGATAAAGCAGTTATTACAGGCCTCTCTGATCCTGCAAGAGGAGTAATAACAAAGGCGGATTCATCAATTCAAGAACAATGGAAGGACGGAGGCTATAATTAATGATAAATATTTCATAAAAACAAAGTTACTTGAGCTCATAATTTGGGTTTTCAGTAAAAGGAGGAGGGGGGGGATTTAATTCTTAAATATTTAAAATTTTCAAAGTTTTGTGGCACACTGGCACAAAACTCGCACCGCCATTCTGTTTGTTGATTTTAGGATGTACAACTCTCGGCTACATATCACTCACTCTCCTTAGTGCCCACATGGTCCAAACACGTATCACTGCTTCTGTAGGGTTTCCAGTAGGTCCTCAATTTTATCCATGTTGGACGATGCAGATATAGATGCCTGCAATTGATTCTGTAAGCTGCTCTGTATCTGGGTCTGTAGACTGGTCTGCATCGGAGTCGGCAGGCTTGTTTCTATGGTCGCCTGTAAACTGGACTGCAGAGCTGTTTGTGTGTTTGTCTGCATTGCATTTTCTAGGCCGGTCTGCATCTCTAAGCTCGACTGCATTTGTGCCTGGAGGGTGTTCTGCAGATTGCTGTGCATGGTTGCTGGCATCGAGGAGGCAGCTTGGGCCATGGGCTGATCCAACAGAGGCTGCATGTGACTGGAGTTCTGGGCCTGGCTCTGGGCTGGCATGGTGGCTCCAGAAGAACTGAGCAGCTGGGATGAGTCTGAGAGGAAGAGAAAATGGCAATAATTCCTATAATTAAACAGCAGGTAAAAGTATGTGATTATGGCATTAAAGCAACTCAGAAAGCATTCCAACATGTACGACTTAACGAGTAGAGCATAGTAGTGACATACCCTTCAGAAAAACTAGAATTAAACACATTTACTCAACCCTGATTAACTGTATTTTAGAGGTGAAGACAACCAAAATCATCTTACCATTCTGGATGCCAAAAACAAACAGGTTGGCCTGTCCTTGTGGAGCCACGCTGCCACCCACGGTCGTCTGGAAAAGCTGCTCTGGAGGCTGCTGGCCAGGGTTGGCTACCACACCCACACCACCCTGCACCACAAAGATGGTTGTGCCAGGGGCTGGAGCCTGGTTGTTGAGCTCTTGTGAGCCAATAGTGGTCTGCAAGCTGGACAGGGATGTCTGTGGTAAAAACAGCTCCACAGGTTGACTGTTTGGGACGCGGCTGGGACTTGGGCCCACTTGCATTGGTTGCTGTTCCTGGAAAAGGCTCTGCTGTTGGTTCTCTGAAGGTGTTGTGTTGCTGCCTGCAGAGCTCTGGTCTTGGAAAGACATGGGCTCTGCTGAGTCTTGCTGGGGGATTCCAACACTTATGCTCCCCATTGGGGACGGGCCTTGGGTCTGTGTGCTGAAGAGAATAGTTGGGGGAATAGCCTGGGGGTTAAGATCAGTGGTGCAGAGAAGCAGACCTGTTTGCTGGGGTTGTGAAAGTTGGCTCTGGGGAACGGGGTTAGCCTGTGAGTGGTTTGGGATGCTTTGGAATAAGGAGCCTTGCTGTCCCATCGGAAGCTGTGGTGGCTGCTGTTGGTTCTGCTGTGGAGACTGCTGCTGCTCCATGGGAGTGCTCTGTTGCTGCATTTGTGAAAGCTGAGCTTGGGGTGGATTCTGAAACATTGCGACAGACTGAGGCTGGCTGGTAGACGTCTCCATGGAGGAAATGAATGCCAGCTGCTGCTGTTGCTGTTGTTGGGGCTGAGGGTTTGGGGACAGATATAAAGTTGACCCTGTGGACTGCTGCTCTGAGCTGAGACCGCCACCGGTGAGAACAGTCAGTGTATTTTGGAGTAGGGCAGCCTGGACCTGCTGCTGGGAGCCCTGGGTGTCAGCCAGGGGCCTGGGCGACTGGAAGAGTTGCTGTGGGGGAGAAGTGTGAGATGGAGGTTGTGTTGGGAAGCTGGTCTGGATGGTAAGCAGTTCTCCAGCCTGTTGAAGGAGGGAGACTGGCTGCTGCACTTGGGGGGAGGAGTGGATCTGGGGCTGGAGCAACTCAGCCTGAAGATGTTGCTGCAAGTTCTCCAAGACCTGCTGCTCTTGTAGCTGCTGTTGCTGCTGCAGGTTGCTTAGTGCTTGATTTTGCTGCTGCTGTTGTTGCTGCTGCTGCTGCTGTAGTTGATGTTGTTGTAAATTGGTAAGAATTTGACTTTGTTGTTGCTGATCCTGCAACTGAATATTGTTAAGGACTTGTTGCTGATTCTGTTGCAGCTGTTGTTGCTGCTGCTGAATGTTCTCCATGATTTGCTGTTGCTGCAGTTGCTGTTGGTCTTGTGGCTGCAATATAAGTTGTTGTTGGATCTGCATGTTGTTGAGGACTTGCTGCTGTTGCTGCTGTAGGTGTTGCTGCTGCTGTTGATGCTGAAGGTTTCCAAGGATTTGCTGTTGTTGCTGCAGTTGCTGATGTTGTTGAAACTGCTGCTGAATTTGTTGCTGTTGCTGCTGCTGTTGTTGTATTTGCTGCTGCTGTTGTATTTGCTGCTGCTGTTGTATCTGTAGCTGTTGCTGTGCTGATAGAGAATTATCTGTACTTCCTAGTCTGAGGCTGTTCATGTTTTCCTGGACATGCTGCTGAAGCGACTCTGCAGAAGGCGTGGGGCTGTACAGCACCGAGTTCAGCTGCTGCTGGGCCACAGCTGCCTCCAACACCTGCTGGAATGCGGCGTTACCTCCAGCCTGCAGCTCCCTAACTGCCCTCTCCAGCTGGGCCACCCCTTCCTGGGGAAAGAGGGGAACCTGCGACTGCTGTGGCTGTGGCTGAGAGGGAGCAGCTATCTGGGGCATTGCCACAACCACGACCCCGCCACCATTATTAGAACTTTCGGTTGGTAAGCTTTCCTGAGGGTCTCTGAGGAACTGCTGAGGGACCTCTGGTGTCACTGGGGGGATTGTGGTGTCTCCTGACACTGGGAAGGAGGTTGGGGGGGCAATGTCTTGCTTTTGTATGGTGCTGAGAGACTCCAAGCTAGGGAAGACAGGAGGTGCTTGAGGAAGCTCCACGTCTTCAGGTTGCAGGGGCATCGGGCTCTGGAAGGACTCTCCACCTGGATGAGGACTAGAGCTGAGCTCCAGGGTCTGCTGCACTGAGATAAGAGGGTCAGGGGATGGCTAAGAAAAGAGAGAAAGAAAAACCGTTACCAATTGCATTCTTGAAAAGGATACTTTTGATTTATATTTTGTGAAAACAGATGTTGTCTTACTTTAAAGACGTCTGTTGGTGGTGGATTGCTAGACACTTCCATTGGTGTGTCCTCCTGCCGTTTCGAAGGCTGGCCAGCGCAGTCAGTTCGCTCAGAGGACATAGATTTGATCTGGTCATCAAATATACAGGTCTTGACCAGGGAGGGACCCTCTGTTTTTACTGTCCGGACATTTGAGTTATCAGCTGGAGGTAAAAATGGAAACATAGGACAGATCTGAGTCTGTGATACGACAGGAAAAGAACCATCCACATCAAGCCGAGAGTGGCTAACTCTGCACACACATAAATGTGAAGGGTATTGCTGCGCTTTTACCACGGCAGCTAGCCAACGAAATGTCCTATATAGTCCAACTAATAATGCCAGTCATTAGATTACTCACATGGCTAACAGAGATTTTCCTTTCCTGCTGTTAATGTCATAAAATTCAGTTCCAAAGCCTCATAATTCCTGGCATTATTGTTGTTAGGCGAATCTAGCTGGGTATGCATGGCTCAACAAAGACTTTAATAAAAGTAGGAAAAAAAGAAATGTTCCTTACAATGTCATAAAAACTGTAGAGAGACGATGGGGTTACATAGCACACTCTCAGACATATACAGGCTGTCTCTAATAACACATTACTCCTGGACCATCTCCTTCTCTGTCCTTCGCTCTTATCTGTTACCTCTCCAAGTCTCTTTATTTTCTTTGTAGATTTGGCCACATTTCATTTTCTTTTCCCTGAAGCTGTCCCTCAGACTCAGGCTATCAGCTTCACCATTGCTATTGTTGCTTAGGTCCTATTTTCTCTTCCAACCGTGAGCTGATTTGGACTTTCAGATGAACTTAAATACAATACAGAAGCATTTATTTGATTCTCGCTGAGCTTTTTATCCTTATTTGGGTTGTTGCTGTGACTGTTCTCTGTTCTGTGCTGTTACCACCGGGAGAGAACTTTCAATTTGGAAAAAGCAAAGTAAAAGCCACATGCTTCTGCTGCATGAAATTTTGTTGACTTTGGTACGTTTCCAGTAAATGCTCCTGACATTCTGAGTTTCATCTCAACCAGTGACAAAAGACAGAGACGGCCTTCAGCCTCCCTGCATATTTCTCTAGTTTGGTACCAGTTACTAGCTTAATTCCACTTTTACACAATCATACATGTCCTTTTTTATAATTTATTGCAAGCAATTATGAGGTTTGATCACTTAAATAACAAACTAGCATCCTGGTAGCTTCCAAACTCTTGTTATCAGTGAGTGAAGTGAACATTATTCCACACTTTGTCCAGACTGTGCTTCCTTTGAAGCCAGTGTCGACCAATTTCAGCTTGCTTTTTGACTGAACAACTTCCATGTTTACACAGACCACTTCAATCTGGTGCAATTAACCCCCAAATCTCTACTTTTACATCAGTGTAAATGGGTTTGGTTCCATTCTGCCTCTGAAGTAATGGAAGTACAGCTCGTGAGTGCATAAAATGTAATGACTTAGCTTGCTGTACTGATTTAAGTTTCTGTTATGAGTCATTGACAAATTCCTGCAGTTCAGCAACATCAGAATCCTTCATTTATACGTCTCTAGTGTCTATGAGAGACGTCAAGAAGTTGATCTATCACACCAATATGGGGAGACTTCTTCCTAATATAATTATATTGTCAGACTATCTTAAAAATGGGACGACTATCTTAGCTCTATCTTCACTTATTATGAAACAGCCTCTTAATTTGAAACAGCTTTAACCGTGAAGGCTGGACATGATGAACTAGGTGACTTCCATGCATTCTGTACCTGACTCTGGAGTGTAGGTGAAGGGCTGAGCGTCATGTGATCTACCAGCGTTGGTCATCACAAAGATTCCCACCGAAACAGGAGAAGTGATTGACTGGTTGTGGAACGGAGGGACTGCCACTATCAAATGATTCTGGAAAACATTAGAGATCATTAGTGAAATCTCACGGAGAGTATGGCCAATGAAAACAGCCACGTCTGATGCAGCAGCTTATATTATTCCAGGAAAAACTGAATGGTATTATATCATTCACTGGCATTTACCTGATGAAAAAGGTCCATGTCAATCTTTGCCTCCGCTTGCCAGGAATTATCATCTGCAAATTCATCAACAAATATTATTTATCCATCAGAGGTTTACATGCCCATATCCACACACATGACATTGACATATAAGAAGAACTCTGACAACACCAAACTGACAACCGCACCTGCAATGTTCTCTTGAAAAATAACTTTGGTTCCTTTGAGGAAGTTCTTTCCGATTATAAAAACTTCCTCTCCTCCTCTCACAGAACAGCTGTGAAGACTCTTTTTCAGGATCTCTGGCACTCCTGCTGGCTGGGCTGGAGAATGACAGCAGAGTCAAAGAATCAAAACTCACATGACAGCTGGTTAATGTTTGCAGAAGGGCATATGAAAACCTCTGAAACAGAAACAAAGAGACGCTCTATGGTCTGATGACACAGAAACAGAGCTCTGTGGCTTTCATACTAAATGCTTTGTTTGAAAAACTAAGCACCAAATATCACTGGAAACACAACTTTCTCCAGCATTTTGCTCTAGGAAGCCGAGCTGGCTGTTACTTCTGTGACCTTTTAAGATCATTTTTGGTTCACATTGTGTCTGAATTACTCACTGCAGAGGATGGGTGATGAGGGGACCTGTAAAGTAAGGACTGATCCATCAGGTTGGGGGATGTTGACTCTGAAGGCCAGTCTGGCACGTGTGCTCTTCTTCTTGGACCCTGCCACTCCAATACGGGCCTCCACATCTGCATTACGAAGCTTCAAAATACCTACACAGTCCACCCTGTAGAAACCAGATGAGACGGATAAGAAAGGAATAAATTAAATATATAAAAGCATACCGCATACTCCTTCACTTATCTTAAATTATGCACTAAACTCTTACGCGAGTGTCATGTCATTGCTGGGCTCCAGAGGAATCTCAATAACAATGGTGCCTTCTATGTCCACCTCCTTGCAGGCAGTCGTGTTGCGTCCCGTCACTCTGCACGCCTGGTAGAAACCATGAGGCTTCACTCTGCCTGCATCATTTGCTACAAACACCTGCAGCACAACAGGTTCGCTAACACCCTCCAACTGCGGACAGAAAATGATTTGTATAAATAACTTAAAACATGACAAATAACAGAAAGCATAACAACACGAGAGTCTAAAGTTGTTCTAAGCCTGAAGAACATTTTTCATACATGAAGCATCCATGTTAAGCCACAAAAGCCATGGACACTGAAAAATGCAATGTAATGTATGAATGGTCATCAAAAAGAGCCAGGTCTATTTTCTCTATGCATGAATGTCACAAAAAAATGTTGTAGATGAGAATTTTTTGGATCGATAACATTCATTTATTCAATGAATATAAAGCAGGCTCTGTTCCTTCATTTCCATAACCAGATTTTTCAGCAACAGTTAAAGGTACATGTTCAATTATTTGCCTTCTGAATACTGAGTTTGTTGTTTGTCAGAAAGCTTACTACCACACAGGCACATAGCCCACAAAAATGAATGACATACTAAGAAAACAAGTGACTGAAGAGGCTCAAAAGAAATGTGCTCATGATTAGTAATTTGTGTAAATACTTGTGTTGCTGTACTGGCATGATTATTTTCTTGTGGCACACAGCACTCCACACTAAGGGTCCTGTGTATATTTAGCTTTATTCATCACTTCCACCTTAGGTGTTGATATTTTCCCCCTGTGTTAAGAAGCAGCTGGTGGCCTTTGTCGTCAAACCTTGACAGTGGGGAATCCCTGCTGTGTGCGATCTTTGACAGAACCTCTGCTGCCCTCAGTCAGATAGCGAGCTCTGTGCTGGGTCTCTGGCTGCACAAGGATCTTTAGCTCCTTCCCGTCACTCCTCTGGGGAAACTGAGCAGACAGTGACCCACCTTTAACTGCAGTCCCTGACTCAAGAGAGCTGCAGGGCAACACAGATGACAAAAACATTAGTATGACATCCAGAAATTCAATTATCCCAGACAAAACAAAATTAAATGACCTTTACTGTATCCCTACAGAGGGGCAGAGGTACTCTGATCTGATGTGACAGAATGTGCTTTGGACAAGGGTCACCCCACCTGGCCATGGGACTGGTCTTGTCTGTGCCCAGCTGGGACAGGACAAAGTGAGGGGCCTTGGCGCTGTCAGCATCAAACACATCCATGCTGTCCTCCGGAGGAGCAGGTTTTGGACCAGGCCGCTGACGAGGGGTGCGTTTTCTAGACTTCCGCGGCACCTCTGTGTTGTCGTTGTAGGAGACGGTGCTGATCAGACTGAAGTTGGAGACAGAATCATCAGCCCACATGCTGCTGCTATGCTCTGAGTCTGGACCTGGTGCACCAGATGCTGCAGGTTCCTCTTGGCAAGACATCTGGCTGTCGTCAAATAGGTCCTCAGGTGGTGGGGATATGCTCAACACAGGCCTTCGTTTAGAGGGGGTGTTCTGAGGCTGCTGGACTCCTAGCCCTGACAACACTCCTGACCCTATATCTCCTGCTGCGGTGTTTGCTCCACTGTTGCCTCTGCTGGGGGCAGATACAGCACCCTCCATACCTTGCATCTCTGAAGCTCCAGCTCCATCCCCTCCGGTGGAGTGGAGATGCTGGGCAACCTTGAGGTGGTCTGAGGATGAGGTAGAGGGGCCAGAGGATGGAACTCCCATGGCCAGGGAGGAAGAGGCAGAGGGGCTGGAGGTGGAAGAGGTGGCATCTGCAGTAGTATATACAGATAACAAAGTTAGGACAGATGTTCAGCACAGAGCAGGCTAGCAGTCCCATTTAAGCAGCTGAATTTGTGCATGATTTGTATTGATTTCCCCTCTTCCCAACTCTAATTTCAACAGACTATTGTGGGTTATATGCTCTCACTGTGCATGCGAGAGCTGTCAAGCATTGATCAAATATTCTGAAGTTAAAGTTGAGAAGGGTACTATAGGTCCCACAATGTTTTGATTCCTACAAAACCTCTCAATTAAAATCAATGTGACAAAACTGACATGCTTTGTTTACAAAAACAAAAGCAAGCTGCAAATTGTTACATACACATTGCCAGAAAGAAACATAACAAAATCTGGTCAAACTTTCTTATACAGCCAAATTTGCAAGCTGATAATGTGGCGCCAAATTAAATTTGCCAGGGTTACAGTACAGTTTGTGCAATGTGCATTCAGTAGTAAACAGTAGTTTGCGCATGCCAATTGGAAGATTTGGTTGGGACTGAGCGTAGCCATGGAGACAGAATAAACAAGCCTCTGACCTATGGAGCAGTGAACTGCAGACCATTTTATATGCAGACACTCCCTGCCTCAGAGGGAACTTCCTGCAATAAAAACGAGACAGCCAATGAGCAACAAGAGAGCTGATCATTCAAGACTCAACTTCTGTCAATCAGTAAATTGGATGAGTTAATATACTGAAGGAAGGAGTAACTTTTGAAGTTTATCATTTATAGACACTTTGAAGCACGTGTATTTGGTTAATGATGATCTGAAGGACATTACAATAGTCATGCTTTTGATCAGCACTGCTTAGGGCCAGCTGGGTCAGACAGGATAGTGAAAAGGTAGCGTTAACATAAGCGCTCTCTCCAACATGACTGTTGACCAGTTAGTTTGCTCTTTAGATGAAACTCAAGACTAGAATCCCTCACAGTTACAGCTAATGTTGGCTGCCCTGAACCATGATCCAAGATCAGACCAAATGTCGTTTGCTAAATGATATTTAAAAAGACGCTGATTGCTAGGGGCAACTTCACTGTTTCATAAAGAGAGAACCTTCGTAATTACAGAAAATGTCAGCTGCTTTGAAACATGGCAGTAGATTAATCATTTAGCTGCAAAGCTCAAACAGATGACATACTGTTGTATGAGTGTGTATTGGAGTATGTGTGAATGACAAATGTGCATTGGCTGTGTCTGCTTTAGGCATTTATTAAGGCACTCAAAAACCAGACCTCGCTATACTGACACGTTCAGAGAGATGTGCTTATTCAGAAGAGCTAAAGTGTTCTAAGTGCTTCATTGAAATAAAGAGTAGTATGTCACATTGAAAGAAATTACAGAATCAAAATGCAATATACAGACTCTGGAACACAATATGTCATAACATGAGGTACGTCAGAGATGACTGCATTAGTCAAAGGACAGTGTTTGGCTCAACAGTACTGGTTAAACTGCATCTCTGAAGTTGGACCGACCTGATATGCTTGAACTGCCTAAAAAGCCAGGTGCCAAAAAAACATTAAGCACAAGCATTCAAAAGTGCTGCAGAAAAAAAATGAGTGAAATGATAAAGAACAAGCTATGTTAGCATGCCGTTAATGCAAACTCTTGGAGCTGTTATTCAGAGTGAATCTCTCCAGAAACAAAGGATTGTGTGTGCACAGTCTTGCACAGTAGTCATAGAGTGTTAGATTAAAGTCATTGCTACTAATATTGGCACAGATTCATTAGATTTCACCTGAGCTTGGAAGTTCTTATGAAACTACATTCAAGAATTTTGAATGCTCCATTGTCAGTCTTAGTTTTATAAAGTAAATTAGTTCAGTAAAGGTACTTGATGGAGTTGCAGTTGTGGTGAAAATCAAAGCCAAAACACAGAAAGTCGAGGTAAGCGATGCCTCTTCACATGCTGCTGCTTGGATTATAAGATGGACATCACACTAAAGTACACAACAGGGTCACCTAACACTGGCAGTGTGAAAGGACCAAAACAACAACAACACATTACATTTGTTTCTGTAATATGGTACAATGGTGTAAAAACTAATGGGCCCAAAATATATTAAAATTCAGCAGAAGTCCAGCTGTAAAAATGGACTTTAATGCTCTGCCACCACCCCACATCTGGTACCACTGTAGCCTTGTGGAATAAGGACACATCCGATAGATCCAAGTGAAATATAATAACCATGTAGTGACAAGCCAGCAGTATTAAAACACCTTTGATTAAAAATAAATGCTGTACTAGTCTATATAATCTAATCTAGTCAGAAACATTGCCTTAAAAACTGATGAAAGGGTGAAGTTGCCCCCAGACACTCATATAAGGCCATATTAGTTTCTTCACCCCCTACTGACTTGGGGAATAGTTTGTTACGGGGAAACTGATCCCAGATCATGGTTTTCATAGGACGAGCAGGTAGCTCACCTGAGGCCAAAGCTGCAGAGGGGGGAGGTCCCGCCTCTCCCCCACTCTTCTGGCTCATGGTGGGTGGGTCTGTCTGGGCGGACGACGGCTGGAGCTGGAGCTCTTTGGGGAGGAGGTCATATACCGACTCTGCCATAAAGGATGAGCAGGAGAAGATATATTAGTTTCTGAAAAACATAAGTGAGATTATTGTTTATTACAGAACCATGCAACTAGAAAAGACCCATGCCCAATCTTTTTAGGTGGATGTATTCAGATCATTTTCGAGGAGGCCTGTTCAGGAACGGTGGAAATATGCAGCCTTCATGGTGGAATTATTCACAATTTATAAAAAAAAGAGAACAACACATCTGCCTGCTGTCAGCTAATTCGACTTAACGCCACAATATAACCCCATAAACGCCAAGCATGAAGTATTGTAACTTACCATGCTGAACACAGTACTTCAAGAGATGCATAAGCAAGTTTTTATTATGGCCTAAAATAAAAGCAAATGCAGAGCTGCCTTGAAATGCAATCATAATTGCTGTACTCTGGTTGTGAAAACTGAAAATTCTTCACAAAATGTAAATGTGCCAACAGTAAATTTCACTTCCACTAACGCAATCTGGGTGGTAATAACAAAACTACTGCTGTATCTTACCCAGGGTCTTTGTTGTTTCCTTATTTCTTTTTCAAAAACAAGTGGAGGCAGTATTGGATTTGGACTGAAAGCAGACCTGAGTCTCATGACTAGAAATCCTCCCACATCTCCAAAAATTCTGCAGTCAACACTAATCCAACACAGTATGTCTTATGATAAACTAAATTAGCCTCCCAAGGAGCTTAGTTTAATAAAACCCACAGAGACATGACGATATTTGATGGCAACATAATCCCTAGCAGACATAACTAACCACTGCAGCTACACTGGAATAAACCACATTTGATTGCAGATAAACACATGATTAGGTAGTCTGGTTGCTAAGAAACAGGCACCTATCAAGACCCTGACATGGATATTTCAGCTGTGCATCGGCAGCACCCAGCATGTGTAGTAGTCATCTGACACTCAGCTATGACTTGGCACCGGCAGAATGATGGAGCTGGCAAGACACACGATCTCGCACTTGTGTGACGTCAACGGTGCTGTTGAGGGAGCGACAACACAACGTCACCATGGTTCACACAAAGAGCTACACAGCGCTTCACAAACACAGACAAAACCTGAGGCAACAAGATGTAAGCCTGCTCTGTGGCATATTGTTGTGGTGAATTAAAGAAGTAATTCCCTCAAAAAATACAACAATAATTGCAAATAGCTGCAGCAAATTCTGTCACAGAACAGCTGAATGAGCAGAACAATCTAAATGTCAAAGTGCCAGAAAATGTCAACAGATAAGGAAAAAATTTGTGATAAATCACAAGTCTTGCCGTAAACAGCGTCATGTGCAAGTAAAAAAAAAAGAAATGATTTCAATGAAACTGCTGACAATGAGAGTTGCAGACCATAAACTACTGACCATTTGGTTTTGAGTTAACCATTTCTTTAAACCAGACAAACTGGCACAGTCCGTTGACAAAAGCTCTCTATAAACCTGGCTATCTCGGACAATGGCTTACCTAATACATTTTAATGTGGTTTTAAAGTGTGCACAGTGACGTCACAATAACCGTCCGTCTTTGTCAGCTGTTCATGGCATGAAGAAAGTACGTCTTTGTTGCTGGATGTGTTACAGATTGACTGTCAACCCGACATGACTTCAGTCTTGTCTAAAACCCTTCTCACACATTAGATGCATGTGCATGATGTGGCGCTACTAAAAACCTGCATGGAACCCATTTACATGCTACTGCAACTACAATTGTCACCGTTCACAGATTCGCACCTGTGCAACGGTGGGAGCACAGCGCACTCCTGCCAAACGACAAGCAGCGCATTACATAATAAAGAGCACCAAACAGAAACGACGGTTCGCCAAAGAGGGCATCTTCCGACCCAGGCTGCAAGGAGGATCACAAAGTCAGGCTGGATGAAATGCACTGACCTGAACGAAACGAGCAAACACTGGGTTAAAGCATGCCACTGTGCTGGTCTGAATGGGGCATAAATCATTTGCTCTCCCTGAGTCCTTGCAGGTCACAGAGCAACACAGTACAACCACTGGAAATCAGTAAACTGTAAAAGAGTTCATTGTTCGTGGGGCACAAGCGTTCATCTATAAAGCTATTCACAGTAGCATCAATAAAGCGTTACAGAACAGCCAAATTGTTGTTCATGACAAATAAACTTTATACATAAACTCTTCAGCCTGGTGGAGTAGAAAGTTCTTTAAACTGGAAGTCAGAAAAAAAATACATTCAAAGCATTTTCTCAGTTTTCACTAAACTCCGGATTACTGCATCCACCTGCCAAGCATCTGTGTGGTTTATTTACATGTGCGCTAATGCTTAGTGCAGTTGTATATAATATTTGTCTCTTTATCTTAAACACATATGGCTGATAATCAGTGCAAACACTGATTCATTAACACATATTGTTGCTCAGTCAGTCACTTTATTTTGCGCTTTCACTTTAGTCATGAGTCCAGCCCATGCAGTGAACAGCATGCAAAACTGTCTTTGCATATACAAACCGTGGCTTGTGCTCGTAGAGAATTACGTAACAATCATCAAAGGGGCAGCAATTAAAGAGTTTGGTTATTTTCATTCAATAATCTGCCCATTTCATAGAATTTTCCACAGATTCACATGTCTTCTGTCTAACCAACAGTCCAATGGCCACATAAGTTTAGTTTACTGTAAAGTATGAGGGAGAAGAATCCAAGCGTCTCATGTGAGAGGAAAGAAAGCACAAACGTTACATTTTTGATTAGAAAAATGATTAAAAAATTAATCCACAGCTAGCTAAAGGGGCCCTCAGCTCGTACCAAAGCCAATAATCCACTCCTGTATGAAATGTGACTTTGCAAACCTGCAGCAAAGTTTAAAGTAGTAATCAAAACATAACCTTCTCTGCTGAGGTAATAATTATCAATAAAGTTTTGCTAATGCTGACTACAAAGCAGTTCAACATATCCAGGATATCGTTTTGCTATCTGGCTTCACTAAACCCGACAAACAAAGCTAACTCTCAACTCAGTAAGCTTAATTTGAGTATGTTCACATAAAAAGAGTGTTGGCACCAAGTGACTGCCTCACAAACATGGACAGGTCTAGAGCTGCATATTTCTTACAAGCAGAACAAACCACAAACTTAATGTAAAAAAAATATGAGAAATTTAAACATATAATACAGACTAAAAGCAACACAGTTGCCGCAGTAGCTAAAGCCAGAGGGGAAAGGTGGCAAAAAACTGCCGACGGTGTGAAAGTGTAAGTTAACAGGCTTATTAATATCACAGCCCCATCATTAGGGCATGAGTAGATCTGACTGTGATTATAGTTGTGCATACCATTAGATGTGTTGCTTAGATGCAGCCAGCAGCCCTGGCGGCGAACAAATATTAAAACATAATAAGTAGGCTTACTGCAAATCTTCCAAGGTCAACAAGTACAAAGCTTTAGAACTTGAAGCAGCCCGTTTTAAGATTATTTCGCAACACAAAAGCCTATCAAATAATAAAATAGCTTCACATTTTCTCACAGTCAACAGGAAATAAAAAAAAGAAGAAAGCAAGGAAGACTAGAGATCCTCAGCTGAGAATCTATATCTTCTGTCTACGCTTGTCAGGAAAAGAAAAGGGGTTCGACAGTCTCTAAAACCTCTCACCCTCCTCAGAGACCCTCTCACCATCACTGAGCTGTGCAGGATCTTTAAGGAACTGGTCAGTAGGTGGGGTTTTTATATGCTTGATCTGTTATCTAGAGCATAATCTGCTCTGGAGCAGGTTAGGTGTCCAGCATAATGTACCATGCTGTTGTACTCTGGTAAGAAGTGAACCATTGTTGTCGCCCTAAAAACCCAGAGTTAAACCTGAAATCACCTCACAAAACCCAAATCCTGCCTCGTAGTACAGGCCTCTGATAACACACTTTGATGAATACAAACAAATTCACACAAGAAAACTTTGAAGTCCAAAGAAGAAAAAAAAAAAGGTTTTTGTCATGCAGCTGCACATAAAACTGACGACAGCAAATAAGGAGAAAGATTGTTTGGCAGATTAATGTTTTTAATATTCCATTTTACTGTTGCATCATCAGTGAGACTCTAAATTAAATCGTTTCATCTTCCTGCTCTTCCTTTGTGGATAGAATAAATAACTTCCTCTAGGAAGCTATTTATCATCTTTGTAAAATCTTAGAGAAGTGGCCTTAATGTTAACAATTTAATCTAACTGCTGCCCTGTATAATTAACAAAGGGAGTCTTTGGAAAGACTTGCACGTCAACTATAAAGATACTTCTGACTCACAGATAAGCTTTAGTTGAAAGGAGAAGTTTAACTTTTCACTGTTCCGAAATGAATAGTGGACCATGATCGTGTTCCTGAAATCGGTTTAGATTTTGGTGACATTTTGCTAAATAGCAGTGAACAGATATATGCACAAGTTTATATATGCTCAGATCTACGGGCTTGTCAGAGAATGCCCAAAAAGCAGGCTGCAGCACACGAGCCAGAAAAGCAGCAGACTGACTTTAACCTATACTTAGAACAATTAAATTACATCATCTCATAGTTATGCACTGCTCACATTACACATGCCTTAAAGGTTTTGCCAAATGGCAAGGCCACCAGTCCATTTTTATTCTTTGCAGCTGGCTTTGTGCTACGATGGGGGATGATAGATGAATAGACAATTCATAAAGGCTGTGTTTTTGTTGCAAATAAAAAAATATGCAGACCAAGAATGTATCTCAGTGCCCAACAATGGCTGCTTTAATTACACTCTTGAACACATAACGATATGCTCAAGCCAGAGCCCAGACAAAGGAGCCACTCACTGCACTCAAACCACAGAGAATGCCATTTTTGGCTATTTATACCATCTCTGTTTACCTTGAAACTGAAATTTTTGCAAGGAATGGATGCATACTGTATGTAGTTCTATTTTTATCTGTTAATGTACATCCGGTGAATAAGCGTGTGTCATGGTATCAGCTTAGGTTGGAGCTGAATTACTACACAGCATTTAGGTGATTGTTCAGGTTTTACTTTTGAATATAATTTCATCTTTTAACTGTTATGAAAACGACGTGATCATGCTAAAACAAAATTGTGCCATATTCCGTTTTGCTATGATTCTCTTATTATGCTCCGAGGTTTAAATCCAGGACACCCTTTTCCTTTACAAAGGGGAACTTTTTGGCCCTGAAATTAGCTCAACTGTGGACTCCAGTTTACTGCTCATCGGTAGCTGTGGTCTGACCATCATGAGACTCCACATGTTTGCAGACAACCTGGTGCTAAACCACTTGCAGGTGACCTAATTCTTTCCTTTTTAAAAACATATTTTAATTATATTTTTTGCACTTGACTTATATTTGAATTAAAGCAAAGCCACCGTTAAACACATTTTTTAAAAAGTAGAATACATTTATAATGCTTCCAAAGTCAAAGGGTGCTTTTCATTTCGCTAATTTATGCCTCCTCGCATACTTTCTCCTCCAGTGACCTGGAAATCCTTCCCCCCCCGCCATCACGGACGATCTTCCAATTACTAAAATAGGAAAGGAGCGAAGAGCGAGGAGGCTTTGGGAGGAGCTTAGAGTGAGGAAAAAACAGGTGTATCTCATCAAGAGGTGTTGGTTGGATTTGACAGTCAATGCAGCTCTGCAGGTCACCATAAGCAACTGTCGTCACCTAAGACCGACGCTGGATTTCTCATTTGGCAGCTTCAGCGCCTCTGTCCTTGCACCTCCTCCTAGCAATTTCTCTCTCTTTCACATCCTTGCTGGGAAGAGACGAGACGTGAGGACGAGACACGACTGAGACACGTTAGTATAATGAAAAGCGCCCAATGAGTAATCATGGTAAATAATACTGGTGATTTTTCCAAAATCAAGCAGCAGTTTTACTATGTGCAGCATATAAAGTGATCATTACCCCCAAAGATACAGCAATGGCAACCTCAGTTTGTGCCTCTCATGTATCAGCAAACAATCAAATAACAGGGCTGACCACTGGGTTTTCTATGAGTAAATTAACCGGCGGTGCAAATCAATGCATTGGCGGTTAATTAGCTTTTAGAAAAAACAATAGCTACCCTATCCTAACTCACAAGCGAGGGGCACAAACTGGGGCCACAGTAATGTATGCCATATGTAAACTTCCCTTTCTAGTTTTGTGGTTGTAAACTTAGTCTGACTTCAACCACCGTTACAAAAGGTACCGTAAACCAGCGAACACAAACTGTCTTGGATGGAACATTAAAAGCTACGAGGCAGTACGCTCTTAAAGGATTATTTGCAGGGAAAGCTGTCATTTTTTTTCCCCCTCATGTGACTGACAGTGAACAGTGTGCAGATATACATAGACTCAATTCCGGCAGAGAACAGAACAAAAATATACTCAGATTTCATGTTTATCAAGTCTTCGCACTGTTATTTTTAAAAATGTACAAAATGAATGACAGCCAACAGATTACTTGTAATAGAGCTGTGAAAACAAGCCATCACTTTTTTCTAAAGGGTTGGTTCACCCATACTTCCTGATATTTACAACACAGATGGTTTTGGTTTCCAGTTTTTGAGATTTGTGCTGCTACCCAAATAGAATAGAGTTTCATTGGTTGTGTTACAACAAAGTGACATCTTTTCATTTTCTCTAGATGATTCACTATCTGCACTGTAAACAATAGTACTGAAGAAAACATCCCCCAGAAAACGGTTTGCATTTGGTATCATGTAAAGTATCTATACAAACACGTAAATACACTATATTGTTATTTTATGGTCTGAATCTATAGAGCAGCAACGAATACCCTGTGTGTCATTCTCACACAATGGAATCTTTTATCACACTGATAAAATTATGAAACTATTTTGTCCCCTGACACAGACTACGCTATCTATTTGGATGTTACAATCTTACATGTTTCCACTTTACAATATTAATGACGCCAAATTGAAAATAAAAAATCCTTCACTCAATGTCAAAACAGCACACTTTTCTTGATGAATATGTAATGATGTTGGAAGACATGCTTATTTTCTCTCACTGGTAAACACAACCTCAAACTATTATCTGGCATATATGCATTGTGTTGGACGACTAATGGTCCGTGACAATAATTACACCACTGTGAATATGGCCAGACAGTATGGAAAAATCTGAAAATGAAATACAGAGATGCATGAAGCAGAACCTCTGGCACTGTAAAGTAAACATTGTCATGAGATTTGTGACCAGATTGTGCAGGTTTCCTGGTACTTAAGTGTATATTTTAGGCAACATGACATAAGACAATTGCTATGGATGGCATCTGTGTTAATGATTACAGTTCTAAAACTTAGTCATTTATATTTAAACATATAGTAGTTCACACTTTTAGTTTCAGCCTTACAACGTAAGATACCAGATTAGTCTTTGCTAGTATATCCTAAAGCTGGAGTATGTAAATGGCATCTCCTGTGCTTACTAAAGGACCTGGGGACTGTATTATGAAGGGAGCTCAACTAAGTCTCGCTCTCTTGGCGTCATCTGAACCTAGGACGGAGTAAGATATTGAAACTATGATAAATAATAAATTGCTAAATAAGGTGTAAGGATATAAACAGCTGTGGGAATTATTAAAAGAGTTGTAAGTCTAGACTAGGTTTTCGCTGCTATTTGGTCTTGAACGGACTATTACAAATTTGTAATGCACATGAAATTAACTGGTAATGAAAGACTGCTTCTGCTGCCAAAGCAGAAAGAGTGGGAGAGAAAAAAAAAGCTCATGTCTGACAGGGTCAATCAGAAAAGTGTTGAATTTATAATAATGGGAAATATTCAACAATAAGTTGATTAGTTTTTCTAATATAAAAGCAACAGAGGCTCCAGTTTTTATTTCCAATTATTATCACAAAGACCCCCTCATGCTGTTGTGAGCTGCAGCGAGCAAAAACAATTCAACTGATAAAAATATCTGTCGCTTTTAATTATCTGTCACTTTATTGTAAACTCTTGTGTCTCTGTCAGGATCCAGTAGGAATAATAACTCTGCATATTCAGTGATCTGATTGGGCTGTTAGTCAGGCTGTTACCATGGTGATCCATACCAGTTTAAAGTCAGGCAGCTTCATGGTTCTGGAAAACCGGAGTCAGTCCAAATAGCGGGATAACCCACAAATCTTGGTACATGTTATGGTTTTTATGTGTCCTCTCAAACCGAGTTTAATATGTACGAGCTCTCGCACTGGATCCTTGACGAGCACATCTGCTACCTTGAACCCAACGAGCACACAACCAATTACTGACATATAAATAAACAGTCCTCATGTGATACAGTGTGACACGGCAGTCTCAACTGAGCCTTTCAGGGTCACAGAGCAGAGCGTTCTGCTGGCTCATGAGCACCCTATACATAGCAGCCAGACAGATGTGGGACCAGCTGCCAAGCTGGGGCTGTGTTGGGTGTCAATGTTACTTGTTAGGCAGTGAAGATCAAAATATGAGCAGGTAGTACAACAGCAGAGGAGGCGCACTGGTGTCTTAAGAGAATGCAAAATGCATAAATCCATGCGTCTCAGGTTACCTCTTTAGGAGCAATACACAACATGCAAGCCTTGCTCATAAATACGCTACAGCACGATCTCGGCCAGTGTTGGGCAGCACACTCAGAGGCAGTTTCTTTACACATGCAGTCGATACTCTTGTTAATAGGCAGGAAACTGACTTAGAGACAAAGTGCTGCGAAAAGCCTGTACACACTTGACTAACCCAGCTCACCACAACATGAGTTAACGGTCTTGCTCTAAGATGATGCAGCAACACCCTCCTAATAATAACATAACAGTTGGCTGACACGTGTGCAATGGTATTAAGAGACAGAATAAATTTTGGCACTAGAGGGCCCCTTATCCTGACAGGGAGGATACCATGCTCCGAGCTTTGAAGTGCCAATAACTGCATTCTTCCAGTGAAACCAGAGAATGTGAGGAGGATAACTCTGGCTCAGTTCCACCAAACAAAACCAAAACAACAGAGGGACTGTCATTCAGCAGCACCAAACAAGGGGAATACACAAACTACTCATGAACTACTTTTCGTCCTTGCCACACACACACACACACACACACACACACACACACACACACACACACACTTAAGACTTAAGTACGTTAAACCTATGAACAATGTGGTGGCTGGAAAGCGACCTCACGTAGCTTGTGGCTACGTTAGCACATATATGTGTCTAATATGATGCTAGCCAGCAGCCTGAATGACAAATTTACTTCCAGCGATATGATCTCACCTATTACTGATATAATTAGCCGAGAAACCGACGCTCTTCCTCGCATGTGACAAGGACCACTAACCAACCAGGTAGCCGAGTCGCCAGTGCACAGCCAAATGCAGCCAACTAACTATGCTAGCTAGTCTTGCTAACAGCAGAAAAGAGGCTAACTAGTGCTAGCTAGCAGCTTAACATGAGCTATCAAGACATTCATATTACTTCCTATTTAACAAGGACAAAACGGATTAGTGACTTCGTGGTAGCCTTCATTTAGTAAAATCTTACCTTTAGAGTATAGAGATTTGGGGGAATTGAGGTCGATATCCGAGCTAAGGAGGGATATAAAATCAGAGGGCATCGCAGCGCTTCATCGAGGGGAGGAGAAGCGGACACTCTTTAGTAGAAACGAAGTCGGCTGCTCTTGGCTAATAAATATTGCGTTTCACAAGCGGAATGTTTTAATATACACAGTATAGCATCGAAGCAATCTTAAGGCGACAAAAACAAAACTTTCAATAGCAAAAAAACCGTTATCCAGCACGTCTCACGTTAGTGTGTGTGTCTTTGCTGAGAGGAGAGACACGTTTCGTGCTACGTTGAGACGAACACACACCGACACACAAACACACACTTGACTACAGTTGGTCGGCCCACCTCCGAGCCCTCCTCCTTCTCCTGTGCGCATGCGCTGTGGCCGGGACGATAATACAGTGGCGTCCCAGCCATCACAGGAAATAATGGCATCAGGAGCTGGCGACATAGCTTGAAGATGTATCATGATAACATTATTACAATCCCCTCTATATAGGAAATTATTCACAAATAGTTATTACATTGTAAATATTTTTTTATTAATATTTTTAAACAAAGAAAAAAAAGTCAATTTGCATTTAACCCCTTTGGGTCAGTTTAAAGGACCCATAGGATTTGGATCCGCAGTAAGACAGCCCTGCTAGTTTTTTGTTTTTGTTTTTTTTCTTCGGTGGATTACCTATTTTAATAACAGCGCCTGTCTCCCTCTATGTAAATATTCCCCCTAAACAACTCCATCCTTCACTATTTTGAAGGGATCAAGAGCCACAGCCTTCTCTGTTTCTGTTCCACCCATTTTGACTGTGATTGGTTCAAAGAAATACAACAAGATAGATTATTGTCATCCTCATAGCAACATGACAGCGTAGTGTAGGCAGACCATTATATTCTGAAGAATAGGCAGCTAAAGCCAGACTAGCCCTGTTGTCTGTTTCAGCGTCTGTAGCTTTAAATGCAGCCAGGCGACTCTTAGCCACGCCCCCTTCGGGAAGAAGACTCTCTCAGCATCCATGATTGACAGCAGAGCAAAGTGGTTGATTGCACAACTGCTGACCTAGATGTGAATGAGTGTTCAAGACTCCCTTTCTACCACTCCACACAACTTCTGAGTAACCATTTTAAATGGAAATACAGTGGAATTCACATCAAAGCTGTTGTTTTTTTATATGATCTGGAACAAGTTTGTGAGTCAACGTTGTGGTTTTGAAATCTTTAGTCCTGCTGTACAGGGCCGCAGCTTGGAAATGGCTCTGAAGTGACTGCCGGTTAACATGTAGTTGTAATGGACTGCGTTTCAGTCGCTATTTCATACTCATTTTGTTGTCTGTCACCAGAGACAGAAAAAGTTTAATTGTGAATTTGGCTGCAGTAAATTGCAGTATATGTGAGCACAGAGAGCAGGAGAGAAGCAAACTGAAGTAAACACAGGCTAAGTTTGTTGAAAACACATCAACCCACCCTGTCCTTGTTCACTGCTTTCAGATTTGTCTGAAAGTTTTGGCCACCTCTGAATGTCCCTCAGCTTCATAGCTCCACAGAGCCTGGACCTTTTGGCATTCAAAGCTAATGGTAATATTAGCCATGGCAGTCCCACAATGTGCAAACAACAAAATGTTTCTTTTGTTATGGTGACACTGCCATTAAAAATGAAATAATTTACTGGATCTTTAGTTGCTAATATACTAAAAGTGCATATAGACTCTTGTGTTCAACATTCGATGGGCTTTGCAAACAAACACGGTGGACTGGAGGCAGCTGCTCACAGGATTATGCAGGCGGGATGATGAAAGTTTTTAGCATGATGACTATTGGTTCCTCATTTCCTGCTTAGAAACTCAACTAAACTCTTGCCAGCTTGTAAAGCTTGCAGGTCGTCTAGTTGAGAGGGCTCTAGAGAAATTACAGTAATAAGCCTTCATATTCTCACAGCTTCTAAATCAATTTCTAATTTCAAGTTTTTAACATGTACAAAACCCAGTGAAAATGCATTTAAACCATATGGGACTAGGTTTATCCTTGTTTCATTAAAGCCCTGCCCTTTGCCCCCACTGAAACATACATTTTCTGTCTGTGCAAAGCATCGTCTCATTTTTATTAACATTCTTTTAGTTCAATCTGTTATAGAACTTTAATCGATTAGATGTCAACTGTTGCATTAATTGTCAACTATTTTGGTTAATAAATTCATCTGAACAATTTTTTTGAAGAAAATTCTCTGATACCAGCTTCACAAATTTAAATATTGTCTGGTTTCGGTAATCCTCCGTAAGCTGAATATCTTTGGGTTGACCAGAAAACTGTGACAGGAATGTCCCAACATTTTCTCCCATTTTATAAACTACACAAATAATCAATTAATTAAGAAAGTAATTCACAAATTATTCTGTTACAACACATCATTTTTATCTGCAAAATAACTCTTGCTTTCAGAGAGATGTACTGCAGCGAGAAACGACAACATCAACATCTGAAATGTGGAGGAAACAGTACAGTGTAAATGTTATATGCGTTAGAATCAGACTCTTGCACAAGGCTTGAGGAAGTTCTAAACTTAGTTCATTCATACACACTGAACACCTGGTTGTTTCTAACACTGAAATTCTTGTCCTAACCTTGGTAACAGTCAAATGATCTTTACTGAGTAAGCTCCATCTGTTGATGAAGACTGTGATAAGGACTGGAACAGTTACAAGTAAGTACAGCTTGAGTCAGGATTAATTTGTCAAACAGCATCTCCTGTGTACCTTAGACTTGGGGTCACTGTCAAAAGCTCCCCAATCATTAGGCCATTGTGCTGTTTGTACATATTTATTGCCACTTTGAAGTGATGTTTCTTTATTTAGTCATCCTGGTTCCCTGTTCTCCAATGATTGTACAGCCATCACGTGGAGACATGATGACTCAGCAGACAGGCAGTACACCTGCTACAGGTGAACAATCTGGTTAACAGGCAGGTTAAGGAGCAGGAACAAAGTGAACGCTGGTGTTTCAGTATGCAAAAGAGCTACTGAGCTGAAAGGGAACAGCTGTGCAGGGCAGGTCACACAGGAAGTTGTCAAATTCTCACCTGTGGAAATTAATAATACAAACAGACGTGTATCAACTAGCATTTCTTATTTATAAAGTTATTTTTCTGTCTCAGTGTGGTCAGTCACAGTATACTTGTATGTGATTGTGCAAGCATTTGGAAGCAGTGTGGTCTCTGCTGATTGCTTTTTGTTTGGTCATTCATCACTTCTGGGCGTTGAGTTGCTGGTGAAGTGTCCTGATGACAGCTGTTGTCTCGTACAGGTTCAGGATTCTCTGCAGTTCAGACTGTCTTTGGCCCTTCAGAACGTCCTCTACATTTCTATTTAAATAGGTGATAAGATCCAGCAGAAGAACAAGCTTAAAGATTGCCTTAATTGTATGATGACCTTTTGTTTGTGTGTAAAAACAATTATATATGTACAAAAGTTACAATATTCTGATTTAACGCTTGCATTTAGGTGGAAGTGAAGTCAGTTTCCTCTTTGACAGATCTAAGCTCGGTGTTTCCCCTAACCTTAACTGAAACCTGACCTTCCACCAACTCTCAACAGTTTTCTCTGCCTGCTCCTGACACTTTGAATGTAACATCCTACACGAAAGAAAGCAGACTTTGCTGATGTAAAAAACCACAGACACCTCTCCATGCATTTGTATGCATTGTTGCATATTATGAACTGTCTTCTTTTTCTCTCATAGTTTGTGTTTTGTCCTCTCTCCCCCTATATGTCTCAGCAGGTTTTTCTGGCTGCACTTATCTGATCCGTGGCTTTCGGTCCCAGTAATCTGTTTAGTGTTTATGTTCTCTGGGTTCTTGTCTATTTTTCGTAACTTTTCTCGAGTCTCTGTCTTTCGTCTTCTCTCTCTCTTTGGCCTCACCCCAACAGGTTGAGTCATGGCTTTGTTGAAGGTCTCTTACTGTTAAAAGGAAGTATTTCCTCTTCAGTGTCACCAACAATTTTCCATGTATAATTTTGTCCCTTAACCGAAAAAAAAGTCAGTTATTTTGTTGAACTATAGAGTATTGTAGAGGCTTTTATATTATTGAAATTAGTCAGATACATTTGGTAAATTTTAAATTACCTATAATATTTGATTTAATCTGGCAAATTTATATTTTATGTAAATAACTCAGGTAAAACTATATAATAAAATAATACTGTAGGGTTTTTAACTTGGAAACTGAACGTAACGTTTCTCTACTGGACAGCGCTTTGGCTCAACAGCTGTTGTTTTATTTATTTGTTTAATATAAATAGCTGCGATTTGAGTTGTGACGCCTCCATTTCCCAAAAGGCCGTTCGGCTACGTCACCGTGTTGTTGCGGAAGTGCCGGGGAACGCTGTGTGTCTGTGACAGCTGCGTTCAGTCCTTCAGAGCAGATATTTCTCACCTGTTTCGTGTCTGTGCCATCATCGTTTTGATGAACACAGCTGAGTTATGGCAGCTCTGAAATACGCAGGAATGGACGATACGGACAGTGACGACGAGTTACCGCCTGGATGGGAAGAGAGATCCACCAAAGATGGTTGGGTTTACTATGCAAAGTAAGTGGAGCAAAACTGTCAACCAGCATGTCTGTGAATGAGTTTACCTGCAGATGTGTTTACAATAAAACCGTCACGTCGCTGCTGCCAGTCTGTGGTTATCACAGTTTGCTAGCTGCTCTGGTTTACAACAGCTCTGACTTCGGAGCTGATAGCGTGGATTATAATCAGCAGGGCTCACATTGTGTTCGATTTGTTGTTATAAAGGCTTTATACATGAGTAATTATTTGAAGATGTGGCTCTGTTGTTAAATTATGCACTAGATGCAGTGCTGCAGCTCAGAGGTTATGAAATGAAAGGTCTAACTTCATGACACAGCTGATCTTTGAATAGGAAATCCTAAAACTCTCATTGGGGCAGTGCATTAGGTTTTCACTCAAAACTAGGAAAAATCTATTGTGCTTTACCCAGAAAATTACAGAATTACAATGTCAGTTCTTTGCAATAGAATGGATCAAACACGATATGTGTTTTTTTTTTCTAATTTTGCTTTTAGCATCAATGTCTGATAATGATGTGATTGCATATTCGCAGTCTGTCTGATATTGACTGTCTCCTCTGCTGCTCTATTTGCTGTGTTTTTGTGTGGATATATATGTGTGTGTGTTGCATGTAACATTTACTTGAAGAGATTTTTTGTCATGCTGTAGCCCATCTGCTGTTATTATGATTGTACTTGGCTTTTCCATATGTTATTACACAGGCAAATGACAAAATAAAGG